CATAAGAATTTGTTTTTTTTGACATGACCAGATTTATTTACGTCAATTAATGTTCCTTTAAATAAGTAAATTCAGTTAGCTAAATCATGACATCACACTATCAAATTTAATAATTATTTATAACATTTTGATATAGTTTTATAATGCATAACTACATACCCTTGTATATTGTTGGTTTCTCTCCATTGTCCAAAATGTGTTAGCAAGTCCTTCAAAAGACAAAACATTGGAGAAGAAAAGATTGTTAAAAAGTCAGGTATTTTGGTTAAATGTAAATAACATTTCAATAGATTAATCAATAGAATGACACAAATGAACACACTGTCCATCTAAAGTTGTAAAATCAACATCTAGGTGTAAGTAACAAAGGTACTTTGATCCAGTCATTGAAAAAGTACAGTAATAATATAATAATAACATAATTATTACATAAACACAAGCTTGTGGAGACAGTGTTATTAATTGCAATTGTTTATTTGGGTCAAGATTAGGTTAAATTAAACTTTTATAAACTGGTCATCTGACATTAATGCCTGTGCCACATTCCCCACATTTTGCTGTTCACAGACACAACAAAGAAATGCCAACTTATTTAGACTAATCCAAAAAAAAACTTCATCAATTTTGTGAGCTAAATACATCTCCTCACATGTAAACTGTCCTACTGTTATTGTGCACACACATAACCTGGTGCTTCCCTGTCCGGTGTATTCTGGGAGTTCTGGTCGGACTTGTTCAGTGAATTGTCCTTGCCTAAATATGACATATATATATATAAGTATAGAGCTCCGGGAGTTGACGTCACTTCTCCCGGCATGCAACAGTTCAAATCGAAACGGCGCCATCTTGGCAGGCAGAAGCCGGCAGCTGGACTATTTGTTATTGTCAGAAAACTCAATCAAACGGGAAATATGGTAGATTCCTGTTGTGCCCCAGGATGCCGAACACACGCGGACGACATAAGGAATGAGCCATCTACAGGATTCCCCAAGATCCGGAGCGCCGCAAACGTTGGATCATTGTAATAAAATGCGCTAGTGACCGGGCTGAAATGAAGCTGTGGGATCCCGAGAGTAAAGGTTTTCGCTTGTGCAGCGACCGCTTCATATCAGGTACTTAAACCAACGTTTCCTCAACTGTGTATGGTATTTATTTTAAATGCTTTTATTACGATTCTTAGTGGGCTTCCTAAACTTATTTTGGCGTGGCTTTTTCTGTCTTATTACTCATAGCAACAAGTAAACATCACGTAAAACGTTGCCTCGTGAGTTCTGCGTGCTGCCGTTTACGTGTTTTATGATCACAGCAATTAACCGGCTAAGCTGTATTTAATGTTTAAGCAATGGTTGATCAATTGTCAGATCACACATAAAAAGCACTTTGGATTGCTATTATCTGTCTCACCGAGACCGATCTCAGACAGATCCTGAGACGCTCCTGCCTGACATATTTATTTTATTCACGGAAAACAATCAGACTAGTGATTTCTCTTGGCGTTCAGTTTATACATTCAAACAGCACAGCGCTCTATTTCAACTACTTACATGTAAATCTGTTATTTGTCCATCCATCCATCCATTTTCATCCACTTATCCGGAGTCGGGTTGCGGGGGCAGTAGCATCGAGAGGCCAGGACTTCCCTCTCCCCAGCCGCCTGAGCCAACTCCTCCGGGTAAATCCCAAGGGGTTCCCCGGCCAGGTCCAGTAAGAAGTCCGCTCCGACAGCTTCTGGCGTTTTTAAAAAGTATCCCAGGGGCACGGTAAGGGTCGGAGATGTTCAGTCTATTTAATTTCTGACTATATAAAACGATTTCTTCGGTTTTTAAGTGTGAAGTAAACTCCGACGAAGTAAAATCCAAGCCGATCCCGTTCACGTTCATGTTTACATCCGTGTTTGTTTAGATTCTTTTACCTGCCAATATGGCGTCTACTAACTGAGAGTCACGTAGGGTCCGGAGCTCTATATATATACAGTTGTGGTCAGAAGTTTACATGCACTTGTAAAAAATATAATATAATGGCTCTACTGAGTGTCCCGTTATTTCTAAAACTCTGATTTTTCTCTGATAGTGATTGGAACAGTTACTTCTTTGTCACAAAAAACATTCATGAAGTTCGGTTCTTTAATGTCTTTATTATGGGTTAACAGAGAAAAGTGATCACATTTGCTGGGTCACAAATATACATACAGCAACATGAACTAGCAATTTAGGTGACTTAGAAACGTGTCAGTGAACTGAGCTTCATAGCATGGCCTCGTAACTTCTTGTGAGTGATTATGAGTGACTACAGCTGGTGACTTCTCTTAGGCCAGGTAAATAGGGCTCATTGGATACAAACGCCCACAAACGCTACAATGGGAAAGTCAAAGGAGCTCAGCATGGATCTGAAAAAGCGAATTATTGACTTGAACAAGTCAGGAAAGTCACTTGGGGCCATTTCAAAGCAGCTGCAGGTCCCAAGAGCAACAGTGCAAACAATTGTTTGTAAGTATAAGGTGCATGGCACTGTTTCATCACTGCCAAGACCAGGAAGAAAACGCAAGCTATCACCTGCTGCTGAGAGAAAATTGGTCAGGAGGGTAAAGAGTGAACAAGAATCACCAAAAAGCAGATCTGCCAAGAATTAGAAGCTGCTGGAACACAGGTGTCATTGTCCACAGTCAAACGTGTTTTGCATCTCCATGGACTGAGAGGCTGCCGTGCAAGAAGGAAGCCCTTGCTCCAAAAGCGGCACCTTAAGGCTCGACTGAAGTTTGCTGCTGATCACATGGACAAAGATAAGACCTTCTGGAGGAAAGTTCTGTGGTCAGACGAAACGAAAATCGAGCTTTTTGGCCACAATGCCCAGCAATATGTTTGGAGGAGAAAAGGTGAGGCCTTTAACCCCAAGAACACCATGCCTACAGTCAAGCATGGTGGTGGGAATATTATGCTGTGGGGCTGTTTTGCTGCCAATGGAACTGGTGCTTTACAGAGAGTAAATGAGATAATGAAGGAGGAGGATTACCTTCACATTCTTCAACCTAACCTAAAATCATCAGCACGAAGGTTGGGTCTTGGGCGCAGTTGGGTGTTCCAACAGGACAATGACCCCACACACACATCCAAAGTGGTAAAGGAATGGCTAAATCAGGCTAGAATAAGGGTTTTAGAATGGCCTTCCCAATGTCCTGACTTAAACCCCATTGAAAACATGTGGACAGTGCTGAAGAAACAAGTCCATGTCAGAAAGCCATCAAATTTAACTGAACTTCACCAATTCTGTCAAGAGGAGTGGTCAAAGATTCAACCAGAAGCTTGCCAGAAGCTTGTGGATGGCTACCAAAAGCGCCTAATTGAAGTGAAAATGGCTAAGGGACATGTAACCAAATATTAGCACTGCTGTATGTATATTTGTGACCCAGCAAATGTGATCACTTTTCTCTGTTAACCCATAATAAAGACATTAAAGAACCGAACTTCATGAATGTTTTTTGTGACAAAGAAGTATCTGTTCCAATCACTCTATCAGAGAAAAATCAGAGTTTTAGAAATAACGGGACACTCAGTAGAGCCATTATATTATATTTTTTACAAGTGCATGTAAACTTCTGACCACAACTGTATATATATATATATATATGTGTGTGTGTGTGTGTGTGTGTGTCTAAAGAAACGATTTTAGATTATTAAAAGGTAAATTTCGGTCTATCTTTTATAACTACAGAATCCTAAGATACTCTATTTTCCCACAGAAAAACATTTTGCCTCTTAAGTACAAGTTAATAAATCCAAAGGAGATTTAGATTTCCCAGCTTCCACCCAGCTTTTGAACGCACCATGCACACACAAATCAGTCAAGTGAGAAAAGTCTCAAAAGAATTTTTATAAGTGTAAACTGATCTGTGTGTAATGTAGTTTTGTCTCTGTGTGTGTGTGTGTGTGTGTGTGTGTGTGTGTGTGTGTGTGTGTGTTCAATGATTTGTATGTGTGGGAGCTGAAGTTACACACGAAAATGTAAACACAAGTTACAAATCAAGAGTTACACACACACATCTTTAGTTACGCACACGCAAATCTAGACACACACACACACACACATTTAGATACACACAAATCTTCAGTTACGCACACACAAATATTGATACACACACACACACAAACATACACACACACACACAAGTTTTTTGAGACTTTTTTCTAAATAAGGTACAGAAGAAGCTTTTTACCGTAGCTTTAGTTGTTCTCTTGAGATTCCTGAATAAAGAGAAGACAGACTGTCCCACGTTAAGAGACTATTGTGTATCATGCTCTGTTCAGAGACAACCACCAGAGGGCAGTAAAACGTTTATTAACATTCACAACATGTCGCATTAACTTTGAATCAATTATTCAAAATGATAATTATCTACTTTTACAAACATAGTTTAAGTCACAACTCAAACCAAGGAAGACACCACTGTCAGATATTTGACTATTCTGCAATAAATACGTAATATTTTAGTTAGAATAAAATTACAGAAACGAACCAACTGCTGAATAATTAGAAAGTTGGTCCGTAGCGCTGTTGTATTATTGCTGAGTGACCATGACCAGGCTACGATGTTTAGTAGTAATATGTGTCACATTTGACTTCCACACCCTCTCGCGCCAGTCCCTTTAGATCTCGCGCGCCGTTCCCAAGGGGTTTTCGCACGCTCCACAATCGACCAATCAGAAGACCCAATTCCACGGCGGCGTCTCGTTGCTACGCAGCTGTGCTGACTGCCCAGTCGCTCCGGCAGCTAGGGTAAGTTCTGTTAACGGGTTGTTAGACTGAAAAGAGTACATTAAAGATGACACGTTTGGATTTTGGTGTCTGTTTGTTCTTACGTGGCCCTGAACAGTCAGCGGAAGTTACAGCTGTGCACACACAGCTGTAATTAAGCTAGAGACCGAGTAGCGGTGCTGGGCTCACGGTGGGAACCGAGCCGCGGACGGACACGCCCGTGGCCGTGTGTCGGGCCAATCCCATGCTAGCTAGATTTGCATCTGACCAATGACCGCAGCTATGCTAACGCCCCGGACTGCTGCTGCCGGTTTCAGTTGAAGCGCTGTGCGCGGAGCTCAGTCTCTCTGGTGGGTCGAGAAGGCTCCAGCACTGCTTTCTGTTCGCTGCTTTTGTTTTTGCACAACGCTGGATTTGGATTTAATGTTCAGCATGACATTTGAGGAACTAAACGGGGATTACTCTCAGGAAAGGTAAAGACTATGTTTGACCACTTTATATGTGCAGCAACGTCTGGTGCAGAACTTTCTTTGATGTTTGTTACTGTTTTACACCTGCTTATCTAGCAGCCCTGCCTCAAGCGTCAGGTCAACGAGTTCACGGCGTTAGCTCGAGCTCGACAGCGGTAGTTTTGCTGCTTTAAGGTCCGGTTCAAACAAACTACAGGGACGGAGCTAGCCACAACAGCTGTGGTAGCGTCGGTTACATGCCTGGTGTTAGCAAACCGGCTAACTAACCAGCGGGAGCACAGAGAATCCTCCCCGAGTTCTCATGTGTGTGTGTGTGTGTGTGTGTGTGTGTGTGTGTGTGTGTGTGTGTGCGCGCGCGTCTGCGTGTGCGTGTGCGTGTGTGCGTGTGTGTGCGCGTCTGCGTGTGCGTGTGTGTGCGTGTGTGTGTGTGTTGCAGGATGGACACAGTGGCTAAAGCCTTGGAGGAAGTCCTGACCTCTGCGCTGCCACAGGGCTGCATCACGGTCGGTGTCTACGAGGCAGCAAAGTCTCTCAATGTGTAAGTTACCCTGTAATAACAAACAGTTATACAGTAACAACAAAATTATACTGTAATAACAATAAGTTATACTGTAATAACTATATATATTATAGGCTGAAGTTGACCAGCCCAGTTTATTGTTGAGGTGAACACCCAGGTACTTGTACGAATCCACTATCCCAATGTCTTTTCCCTGCATGTTCACCATTGTTTTAGAGGGTGACTTCCTCCTAAAGTTTATGACCATCACCTTTGTCTTGCTGGCATTGACCTGAAGAGTGTTGGTCTCACACCATATTCCTGATCGTTCCTATCTGATCTGCATCCGATGATGGCCGAATCATCAGAGAACCTTTGCAGGTGGCACTGGTCTGAGTTAGAATGGAAGTCGGAGGTGTAGGCTGAACATGAAGGGTTAGAGAACTGCTCCCTGCAGCGCCCCTGTGCTGCAGATTACCACCTCCGACACACAGCGATGGAGTCTCGCCTACTGCGGTCTGTTGGTTAGACAGTCCATGATCCATTTGGTCAGCTGTTTGCCCACACTGGCTCCCTCCAGCTTCCCTCTCAGTAGTGCAGGCTGGACGGTGGAAAAGTCAAATAAACTTGACCTTCATAGTACTGCCTGCCTGCTCCAGGTGAGAGGGATCAGTGCAACAGGTAGATAATAGCATCATCCACCCCGACTCCAGGCCAGTAGGCAAACTGCAGGGGGTCCGGCACTGAGCTCACCAGTGAGCGAAGGTGGTGCAGGACGAGACTTTGGAGAGTCTTCGCCGGTGAAACCTGACCTACGTTAGCGTAACACTTCTAAATGTTTGTTCATCTCGCAGGAACCCACATCAGACTGACTGGTATTGTGTCCTTCACAGAGACTCCGATAACGTGGTTCTGTGCATCCTGGCTACGGATGAGGATGATGTAAAAGATGTGGCCCTGCAGATCCACTTTACCCTCATACAGGCATTCTGCTGTGAGAACGACATCAACATCCTGCGAGTCAACAGCACCAGGCGCCTGGCTGAAATCCTGGGAGGAGGAGGAGGAGGAGGGAAGCTGAGCGGAGCTGAACCTCTAGACCTGCACTGTGTTCTCGTCACCGTAAGCGCTGTTGGCTTTTGTCCTTTTGGCATGTGGGGCTTTTCACTCATGATCGTCAGGCACACGAGTGAAACTCTTAGTCAGAGAAGAACTTGTTCATACTGGTTCCTACTTTTGCTCAGGACTCCGCCTCCTCCTCGTGACTTGAGAAGAATTTCTGAAAAAGTTTATCATCGAAACAGAAACTAGCAGAAGTGCAGCGTAAACAGGGTCTGGCAGTAAAACTGGCTCCGTCTCTTCTAGAGGTGCGAGGCTTCACTTGTCTCCCGATTCAATTCGATTATTGGGTCAACGATTCGATTCGATTATTGGGTCAACGATTCGATATCCTGATGCATCACGATTATTTCATAGTGATTTGTTTTCATCGATAAGTAGAAGATGTCAGATAATTGCTTCTTATTTATTTACTTTTTTTATCTAAAACGTAAGTGACACAACCTGCCCTCCCTCAAAAGCTCTCCATCCACAACAGGTTAGGACAAAACATGTAAACATTTAAGATTTAACAAAGTAAAACAATCTGTTTCCTGGTTCAACACCACGCCTCAGGCTGAGAAAAACGCGCTTTCAAAAACTCACAACATCTAAAAAAGTACTGAAAACCTACAGGACTCATAATGTAATAATAAAATACATAATGGGTTCATATACGAGTGTTTAATGTCTCTGAGCAGCTCTAGAGTCAGATATTTATGCCGCTGCTGAAGTCTGTCAGAAATAACACCAAATGAAATGTTTGACTTAGTTTATTTTATTTGAACCCAGTGGTTCATTTCTGAAATGTTGGAGAATGAATCAAGTTCTGTTTGATGCAGAAAATAATAAAACATAAAACAAATTCTACACTCCAATAATATTTAAGATGTGTGTTTTATTCTTCCTGATAATAACACCAGCAGAAGGCTGTGGGCTGGATTAGGATTAAATTACCCAGCTGATGGATCTCCTTCACTAGCCAGCTAACTACAAACCTTTCCACTAGCCTGTCCTGTGGGACCCTCACCATGTGACCCTCATGTCCATGCTGTCTCTGGAGGAGCAGATAGGAGACAAGACCTCCTGTATCCTAAAATGAACCAAAGCTTCCTCCCAGTTTCTCTTTAAGCTGAATTTAACATCAGTTTATCTTCATGACACAAAAGAATAAAGTGGAACAAGAACTTCTACCTTCTATTTCTCTCTCCTTTTAACTTCTCCGTGTCCCTAAATAAAAGATGATTATGCTGCAGCCGCTGTCACTGACCCCGCCCCCTCCCCAAGACCGGATCTCCCGACATCACAGCACTCGGTCTGACTGAGCGCTTCCAGGAGAAATAATAAATATAATAACGCGTGTTTGGAGGAGCGTCCTCCGATCCTCTCTCTCTCTGAGCTAGCGGAGCGCGCCGCGTGACAACCCGCTCAATTAACATAATTCACGGCCCAAATCCAACAGAACCGGTCGGACTGATTCGGTTCCGGTTCAGTCTCAGGTGACAACTCTAGCGCTCAGCCCTGCAGCACCACATTAAGGCGGAGGTAAATGTGGAGGACGCTCACTCTGACAGATGTGGACGCTGCGCTGGTGCCGCCGTTAAAAAACCAAACTACATTCCACTATAATGGATGATGGCGTACTCTTCTACGATGCATCCATTATTGGATCCTCAGCTCTAATCTCTTCAGATGTTGAAGTCATGCTTGAAAACCCACTTTTAGGTGGTCTTTCCCCCAAACACAGTCGTTGACGCTGGCTCGTTGTTAGATTGGTTTTTAGGTCACAATGTTTTTAAGCTCTTACTTGTGTTGATCTATTTGTTGTTCTTATCCTCCTTTTGATTCCCAGGATGTTTTTATTAAGTGTTCAGCACTGCTGGGCTGCCGCTGAGGCTGTGGAAGGTGCTATACAAACAAAAATGGATTGAGTTTCCTTTGATAGAGAATGTTCTGTCTCTCTGTTGTTAGAGCCCACATCCTGCATCGTGGAAAGACCCCGCTCTGGGCAAACTCAACCGATTCTGCAGAGAGAGCCGCTGCATGGATCAGTGGATACCCATCATCAACCTGCCTGAGCGATGAACTCCCCAGCAGCTAAAACCTGTCCAGGAAGTGTGATCTGCACAGGAAGTGTGGTCTAACCCAGACGGACACAATTTTATCAAACGGTGCTGCTCTGCTGATGGAGGGGAGAAAAGCAAGAGAAACACCTGCAGGCAGCATGGGATGTATTTGAAGGAGAGGGCTGGAAGTTCCCGTTTGGACTGGGCTGCTGGGAATGGCTGTGCACGAGGATGCCACTGTGTGGTTTGGTAAGTCCAGACCGCTGAGCGGTTGGAGGACCAAGGCCTCGGCCTCTGCAGACATGAGAGCACTTGTTGGAACACGGCCTGCTGCAGTCGTTCTTGTTGAGGTTGCTGTCGTCATCACTTCACATCTCAGTGTTTAGTGTTTCATTCACCAGCTTGCCTTTCACTAATGTTACAATTTAAGTTATTTCTAATTCTATTTAAACTATTTATGTTCATTTTTGTACTTAATGAAGACGTGAGCGTGACACACGCGGTTTACGGTCAATAAAATGCTGTTTTGGAACAAACCTCTGAATGGGTTCTATTCGCTTCCTGACCCGAGGCAGCGGGATCACAGGGGTCATGGTGGCCGCCGTGGCCCCGGTGCCGTTTCTGAGCACGACAATAATCCTCAGCGCTCTGTCCCTGGGCGGGCTTCTGCTTGTGTCAGCAGGACCATGTGAGTTCATCCACCCAGGTCCCCTTTCACCTGCTCTGTCACTGTTTCCACTAGTTTGTACTTTTATGGACTTGTGTCAAAAGGTGTGAGGACTGCACACGTGGAAGCATCACCTGCTCTGCGGGGGTTGACTTTGGACCCGGGGGTGCAGGCTTCAGCCCTTTCTGCTGCCGTCACTTCCTGGGTTTGGTTCAGTTTGCATTGGTGTCACGCACCTGTAGCAGCAGGTAGATTTCCAGGAGATGACGACGTCACTCAGCTGATGAAAGGCAGCGTCACGCTGAAGAGGAGAGCTGGAATTTCCCTCTGGGACTAATAAAGTATGTTTGAGCTGAAGATCCCTGCAGCGGTCATGTGATGCAGGCCGGTTCCGACTGGGTTGTGAAACCCTAGGTCTAAAAAAGTTGAACAATAATAAAGATCAGCTTTTTTCTCCTTTTGTCGACAAAAACCCAAATAAAACGTTATTTATTTAGTGCAGTAGTTTACATCGCAGGTAAGTGAATGACCTGGACATGGAAAGCGCTTTCAGTCATCCACTCACACGCTGATGGTGATGAGCTACATCGTAGCCACAGCTGCCCTGGGGCACACCAATGGAGGCGAGGCTGCCGTACACAGGCGCCACCATTTCCTCCCGCCAGGAACGGACCGGGACAATGATCCAGGCCGGGAATTTGAAACCATCCCAGGCAACCACGCAATTAATGCAAACCCTAAAAGTCAGCCAAGCTGGGCGCCTGCTCGTGTAAATGTGCAAGACAACAAAATGAAAGTTTCACACGTACCCCGTTTCTCCCCCACAATACAAATACTTGTGTTCTGCTGCCAGTAGCTGTGTAGCATAAAGTTAAATTCTATTTAATTCTGGTAAATGTGTCCCTACACATGTACCAGTGTAGTAGTAGACCAGACGCCATCATCCATCTGAACTACTCACTAACACGGGTCGGCAACCCGTGGCACTTTCCACACTCTACTGCTTTCTTCTACAATCTGCTCTTTAACTGTATTATTTCCTGCTATTTCAGCTGTTAACTTTATTTTCTCTCTAAGTGTTTTTCTCCCCAGAAGAAGCTACAACGATGTTCTGCTGAGCTGTGGTGGCCTCATGGAGGGGGCCATCGTCTAGCACACTGCTGCTAACCACTTTCTCCCTCTCCTGATAATAACTTTTTATTCTCTTTGACGTTGGATGTGCTACTGCTAGTTTACCTGTTTAATTATAGATCCACTAGGATAAATACAATAAAGTTTATCTCTCACCAAATAGAATATTTACTAAGAAATCACAATATAACTATAGACACATTATTGTGTGTGTGTGTGTGTGTGTGTGTGTGTGTGTGTGTGTGTGTGTGTGTGTGTGTGTGTGTGTGTGTGTGTGTGTGTGTGTGTGTGTGTGTGTGTGTGTGTGTGTGTGTGTGTGTGTGTGTGTGTGTGTGTGTGTGTGTGTGTGTGTGTGTGTGTGTGTGTGTGTGTGTGTGTGTGTGTGTGTGTGTGTGTGTGTGTGTGTGTGTGTGTGTGTGTGTGTGTGTGTGTGTGTGTGTGTGTGTGTGTGTGTGTGTGTGTGTGTGTGTGTGTGTGTGTGTGTGTGTGTGTGTGTGTGTGTGTCTGCCTGCTCTGTCTTCTCCATCCCCAGTGAGTCGTGGAGGATGGCTGCTTATACTGAGCCAGGATTCTCTGGAGGTTTCTTCCTGTTAAAAGGGAGTTTTCCTCTCCACTGTCGCTGCATGCTTGCTTAGTATGAGGATTGCTGTAAAGACTCTGACACCAGTCAGATGCAACCTGCTGGGTTCCTCATACAGGAAACTTTATGCTGATTGGCTTAACGACCTGACCTGTACTGTAATGTCTATTATGAGACGACTCTTGTCGTGATTTGGCGCTTTATAAATAAACTTGAATTGAATTGATGAGGCTTGCTCTGCTTGTAAACTAATGAATGAGTATTTTATTTTACTGCATTCATTTTTACCTGTAGGCCGGTTCTAAATCTAAAGATCGTCATCTTTACATTTACAACTGGCACACGGTTCATTTAGCAACACCTAATAAATATTTATGTATTGATTACAGGAAAGGAGACAAAAGCTGCTGGCTTCCTGCCCAGAAGTGAGCCACTTCTTTCATGTGGAGCTGAGAAGGCTGAGCCCCTTAGGACACTGCTAAACAGATAGCAACTCAACCATGAATGTAAACTCAGACCACGCTCAGGTAGCGGGTCGGTGTGTGTTGAAGAACTTATTGTCTGAACACGCAGAGGTCCAACGTATCTGTATGAATTACATCTAGAATGAACTCTTGGCACTTACTCTTACATTTGAAAACAGTGCACTATAAATGCATGAAGCTAAGTGGCGTTAGCACCTTGCTATTGCATACTTTGAGCTAAGTTGAGAAGTGAAAGAGAAGCATAAATGGAAGAGTACTGATCTGGGCCCGCTCCAGTACAGCCAGTCAGCCCACACCCTCCTCTTCCTCTCCCAGCACAGCACATTCCTACACAGTGACACTGTAACTGCCAGCAGAGGCGTTTACAGAGGGGCACAGGAACCATTTAGCCCCTCCCATTCCCACGTCGCTAAGCAACAACCAACCTGGATCAGTGCAAAGGCCTGCCGGGGACATGCAGGCTGCAGGTCTCTGTGCAGCAACACAGCGTGCTCCTCGTCTCCTTCCAGGTCATCAGCGTTTTATATTTACACAACAAAAGCACCGGATTCTCCTGCAGACCTGCTGTCAGCGACATCGTCATTTCACCACTACTGTGCTTTGATGTGTGAGAACTGTCCCATCCACTACAACACACCACCAGCTTTTACAGTCAGATACGTGTGTGTGACCTCCCTATAGTGAGACAGGAGGTTTAACTGGCTGTGCAGTAGCTAGCAGGTGGTTAAAGCAGGTCGGAGAGACCCCAGAGACCTGCATCATCCAGGAACACTTCCAGAAGTAGCTCCTACACCCAGAGAGGAAATCACTTTCTAGAAAGATCCTGTCTTCTGCTGTCTCACAGCCTCAGTGAGGCCCGGGGGCTCTCCACTCCCAGCCTGGATCACTTATATACAACCGGATCATTCCCTCGTCACGGATCCGGAGGTCAGAGAGGTCGGATGACCTCGGGGCACCCAAGTCCGGTGGACTGACCGCAAGCACAGACTTCTCCAGTCTCAGGTAGTCACCAGGCAGCACAGGTTGGACTCAGCTTGCGTCTCAGGAATAACTCTGAAGGAGTCTAACGGTACCAGCTTGTTCTGCAGGAACTGTTCGCTCATCAGCTTTCAGGTGCAAAAAGATTATGACGACGTGTCAAAGTCTTTGATGGTTGCAGAGTTTTTGCTACAGATAGCCAGTCTGTCGAATCTCTCAGCATGTTTTAGTTTTAAAGTTTAGTTGTTGTGGTTTGGACAGCCAATCAGAGGCTGACTAGTTTGGAGATGTTACCAAGGCAACTCAGAAACACACCCTCTTTGACATGGAGGCTCTGATCTGGGTAAAAGGTTAGCCGCCTCCAGTCCAGTCAGCGCCACCACCTGCAGCGGGTCCGCCTCCAGAGACTCTGCTTCCAGCGGCTCCAAAGACTCCGCCTTCAGTCACCGCTAGCCCTGCCCTCGCCCAACGCAGGGCCCCCGAAGTCCGTCGTCTCCCCCTGTGCCCCAGACGCCGGCCCACCAGACTCCATCCTGACCTGCGTTGGGCATCTGGTGCTGCCCTTTAATGGGGGGGGGCTACTGTCACAACCTGCCCTGTCTCCCCTCTCTGTTCCATCCTGTGTCTCTTCTGATTTCTCCCACCTTTCTCTCGTCTCCCAATCACGGTAGATCCCACCTCCTCGTGTATTTGAACCCCCTAAAACGTTCCTGCCTGCCTTCTTCCTCACATTTGGATGCTCGCCCCCGCTTCACTCACCTGCGCACCCATGACACTGTGCTTATTCTTTTGACTGTTTTATAGTGGTGTTTGATTTTACATTGGTTTGATTTTTATTACTTTTCTGCTGTTTTAAATGGTTTTAAACTGGCTCTGATTATTAGCATTATTGCAGTAGTTTTTAATCGTATTACTTTTTTCCATATTTAATGTTAAGCACTTTGGTCACCCTCTAGGTCGTGTAAAGGGCTGTATAAATAAACATTCATTCATTCATTCATTCATTCATTCATTCAAACCTGATGCATTAGTTAATTACAACAGGAGATGAAGCAAACCTGTTGAGACAGAACTGAACCCAGGTCCGGTCCGGTACCGTTATCCGCTCGATGCTGGCCTCTGCTCTCAGCCGCTGTACGGCGCGCTGTGCGTGGCTGATGTTGCTGCAGCTGTGAGCCGCTGACGACATCCTGGGCAGCACCACTCTGGAGAAAAGACGGAGTATTTAAGGTCCAGGTGTAAAAAAATCTACTTAATGTTCACACACAATCCTAAAAGCACAAAAACGATGTCTTGGAAACATTTCCAGATGAGTTAAACGGAAACGGTGTGAAACTGATTCCCTCTATCCCAAACACAACAGCTGACTTATCCTGACGTTATCCCGGAGGAGAACTCGGCTCCTCCATGTGCTGCTCTGGAAACCGTCCTGCTGTTGATTTAAGCGCTAGCGTCCACTTAGCTCTACTTTCTCCTCCTCTGTAACACCCAAGATGTTCACGTGCACTTATTTATTTATTTAAGTGCACGTGCATCAGTATTAGGGCCTACATGTTGGAGATGTTTCCCTGTGCACACATTACGTGTGTGTGTGTGTGTGCGTGCGTGCGTGCGTGCGTGTGTGCGTGCGTGCGTGTGTGTGTGTGTGTGTGTGTGTGTGTGTGTGTGTGTGTGTGTCTGCTCTGTC